CGAGTGAGAACTGTAGATAACCCGGATGATCGTGAATTTTCTGATATATTATTAAAGAAAATACCTTCACCAAAGATACCTATCCACTGCTACACCAAGGAAAACTTATTCTGACGCCTGAGTTATGTTGTATAGTGCAATCCCAACAACATCTTACATCGTCAGTTTACGGCGACGTAACAAATATATTAAATAAGGACAATTCTTGGCTATGCAAAAGGTCCATTTTAACTCCTCGCAATGACCAGGCATCTGAGATTGATATTAAAATACTGTCGAATAACCAGGGGGAAAGCAAAGTTTATAGTTCAATAAATAGAATGGCCGATGAACAAGTAGCCACTAACTACCCGATAGAATTTTTAAATTCTTTAAATATGCCCGAACTTCCTTCTCATGAAATTTGTTTAAAAATTGGCATTCCGATTATTCTGCTCCGAAATTTAAGACCACCACAAATTTGCAATGGAACTCGGCTTAAAGTAACCCAGTTGCAACAAAATGTAATCGAGGCTCGAATTTTAACAGGTTGCGGTGCAGGAGAAACCATCTTTATTCCCAGAATTCCCATAATACCAAATAATTTTCCATTCCAATTTAAAAGAACGCAATTCCCAGTATCGGTGTGTTATGCAATGACAATAAATAAGGCTCAAGGGCAGACTTTTCGTGTTGCTGGAGTAGATCTCGGTGTCAGTTGTTTTTCACATGGTCAGTTATGACGCTCTTTCCCGGGTTAGCAGTCCTAGAAATTTTTATGTTCACGTGCCGGACGGGTCAACTATCAACGTAGTTTACCCGGAAGCTTTGCGCTGAAGTATTTTCATTCTTTATGTACTTAAGCCTCATGTGAAAACGATCTAAACAATATTACCAATACATTAACATAATAACATACAAGGAGTTACATGCTGATGGTCTCGGGGCACAGTGATAATAATAATATTCTGCGGTTCCTTATTGCGATATTTTTAACAGTATTGTGGATTGACATATTATATTTCCCTACTAAAATACGAAAGTTAATCTGTCTGTCACATCAAAACCACGGAACCCTGAGGAAGGACATATGCTACTTTTTTTACGACAAATCGCCCGGATAGCGAAGGATGCGGGTTCGAGTCCCGTCCGCTGCCTGGGCCGCGTGGATTTTTTTCTAGTAAACTTTTCTTTAGATTTAAACCAAACACTTATTGATAACTGTTTGTATATGAGGATTTCCATTGTTATCTCCAAAGTACTCATCAGATCTTCACTTCACAAAATGACTATAGGACCGTCTCGCTAAAAAAAACTGATTCACACAAAAAAAATATTCATCAAAATCGGTTCACGCATCTCGCAGACATGCGCGAACAACAATTAAAGAATATATACTGATAGCAACTTTGCTCTATCGCCATACTATTATGTCTCCAACAATCATACTGGTTGACTGGTAGAGAATGCCTATGGCATTAAGTCCGCCGTTTGCTTATGTTTGGCAATAAAGTTTAAATAAATAAAAACTGATAAATTGAAAATCTCCTCTTTTTGGAAGTCGGTTAAAGTTATAAAGAGCAACTAAACATATTTTATTTTTTAAACATGTAACTGCTTGATGTTTAAATCTAAAGAAAATATTACTAGAAAAAGTCAAGCTGACCAGGCAGCAGATGGGACTCGAACCCGCACCCTTCGGGCGAAAGCACATACCATTATGCTAACCTGGCCTTGATGGCCGTGTCGAATTCTCTCTAGCCTTTCTTAACCTGCAAGGTAACGCCATTTCATCGCATTGTAGGTAACCCAAATGTCAAATAAATAACTTTACAAGTATTCAACATTTGAAACAAGAAATAGCAATTGTAGCTATAATTTTTATTTTCTAAGCATGTAACGGCTCGATGTTTAAACCTAAAGAAAATAAACATATTTTATTTAACCAAGCACGTACCGTGTAATAATTATCAGTTCACAAACCGATAAATCACATCATATCACAAATTAAAAGTAACGAAATGCTAAGGTAATCGGCTAGATAACAATTTTATTATTGTTTTTATATTTTAATAGCTGTGCCCCGCGGTGTTACCGGCGGTTTATTAGGAATATTTTCCCGCAGTAAAACGTAGCCTATGTGTTGATCCAGCGTGTCAGCTAACTCCATACCAAATTTTATTAAAATCGCTCCAGCCGTTTAGACGTGAAGAAGTAACAAACATACACATTCACAGACTTTCGCCTTTATAATATTATAGTATGATTGTTATTTCATATTCGATGGTTTTAGTAATACAAAGGGCATTAAGCATATAGCAAGTGATTATTTGTAAAAAAAACACTAGCACCGTGATCTAAAAATCAAACCTGTTAGAGAAGAAATAAAGGATTCCTTCCTTTCCTATTCCAAAAGAATACAAAATCATCCTACCCCACTAGCAAGAACTTTGATGGAAAAGCAACCAAACTATACATTTAAGAGACTAAAGAGAAGTGCTCCTCAAGATCGTCTCTAACACAAACACAGAAAATAAATAAATATTTCCAACACTCACACCAATTAGCCTAGCCCCAAAGTAAGCACTGTAAGGCTTGTGTTATGGGATGCTAGGGTTAACGGATATAATACAATTATACTGTACAGTATATAAGTATATTTATATAGAAATACATATTAAACACCCGTAACTGGAGTAGAAATGCTCGTATTCATCACACAAACATCTGCCCCCACCGGGATTCGACCCGGGACCTCTTGAATCGGCTACACCATTAAACCCGGCGTACGAACCACTCGGCCACGGAGATCATCATCATCATCATCAAAGAAAAGTCAAAATAGATGGGCATATCATTGGATCATGTACCATGCACGACATTTTTATTCCAAATTCATAAAATATAGCTTAATGTCGACAAGACAGATCGCAGGAAAAAAAGAGACTTAAAAAAAAGCATATCGTAGAGGATTTATCGCTGCGATTGGAGTGTTCTCTACCCCGTCTGGGGAAGTAACCTCCACCTTACAGGAGACATGTGTCACACAGTGACACTGCCGGATTTAGGGGAGGGCAACCGGGGCGAAAGCCCCGGGGCCTCCACAAACGGGGGGCCCCCACAATAGAGACTTTGGAAAAAAAAATCTTTCAAATTCCAACTAGTAAACACTAGTAAACATCTTTTCCTTTGATATTTTTTTTTGCTCTTTTACCTTTACCTACAGCCTACAGTACTTTGTACATCTGACATACATGATTATTTGATTATATTAATCTTAAATAACAGAAATCATTGATCTATATTTGTTCACTCCAATCAGGCAATCAGTGAAATATCAAAATCTCAAATGGCCCTGATAAGCACTTCCAATTCACTACCCATCTTGAGGGAGTACCCCAATCGCTTAACGGCTGAGTGGGGAGGTACTTGCCCGCAGGGCCGAATTTAAGGCAGGGCAGGTGGGGCTGTGGCCCAGGGGCCTCCACAACAGCTTAAGAAATAACAACATTTCGATAGGTTAACAAGAATACAAATCCTAAGTGGCCCGGGGCCTCCACAATCCTAAATCCGGCCCTGCACAGTGAACACTAGTGTCAAGTCCCCCACTTGGGCTGTTGAATCTACAAGCATTGGGCTGCAGTTTTTTTATTTATTAATTTATTTATTCCCCGGATACTGGATATTTGTTATTTAGTATCTCGTCAGGATTTTGGTAACGTATGGACTGAGGTAATGAAAACGAAATTCTTAAGTTAAAAAAAACTGGTCGCGTACAGTGCGCTTTCAGAGGCACTTTCTCCCACGCACGCTGAGGTTGTGGAACGAGCTTCCTGTATCGGTGTTCCCTAGAGACTACAGTATGGGGTTCTTCAAGAAAGGTATAAAAAGGTTTTTGCAGGGTCGGCAACGCGGAAGTAACACCTCTGGTGTTGCAAACGTCTATAGGCTGCGGTAACCGCTTACCATCAGGCGGGCCGCATGCTTGTTTGCTACCTTAGTGGTATAAAAAAAAAAAAAAAAAAACGAAAGAAAATTTTACAAGAAAACATTCAAGTCCAGGCAGCAGATGGGAATCGAACCCTCAGCCTCCGCTTTTCGGACGGATGCACTGACCAATTATGCTACCGCGACCTTAAACTTCTGGAATTTCTTCTAGCGTTTCTTAGACTGCAAGGCAGTGCCATCTCTTCGCATTGTAGGTAACCCACAATCTAATAAAATAATATAGTCATGTGACACTTGTGACCCATTTCCGTTTCATCTTTTCTATTTAAACCCTGCCCGAAAAGAAGTATCGCTTCAATTAAAAATCAAGTCTAAATATGGAGAGGGCATTTATGTATGTAAATTATTGCTTCAATCCTGGTATCTGGGTCACAGAAAATGTTGATAGAACAAAAATATGCAGGTACACACGGCAGCTCAACAGTTTATACAAAACTGATCAAATTCTAAATTCTTTTTCTTAGTGGTCAAAGATAAAGTTGAATTTCGATTAAAACATAATTACCTATAAAATATTTTGTTGTGATCAGATGAAATATTATCCGTACCTATATTTCAGTATGTCGTGTAGTAAGTTTCGTTACGTTAAAATATTATTTTTTTATTTTATTTTTAAGATAAAGTTTAAACAAATATCTCTCTTATACTTAATTAAATTGTATTAAAGCAAAATTCGTTTAAACTTTTATTTTATCACATATTTTTACGTTATATTATTTGTGCTTAATATATAAGAGATACCTTCTATAAAATATTAAAAAAAATATTCATTCAGTAAATGTATTTTGAAAATGAAAATTTTGAAAAGGTAACGCGTTGAAATCTTGTCTACAGTTAAAAAAGATTGATTTATCTCGTCGTAGGTGTGAAATTTTTACATTCATCTCAATTCTATGTATTTAAACATGAAACAACAATATTCACATTTTTTTCAGCATATGCATTATTATATCACATAATCATTTATGAAGCGTTACAAATAAAATAAATAAAATGTATTAAAAATAACTTACCGAACACGTTTATTTCTTAACGTGAGTAAATCCGAAAAATATTTTTTTCCGCGGAGACTTCACTGAACTGTTACTTATAATAAATAACCTTGTCAAATGTCTGTAAAGTATTTTTATGTTAATTAAAAATTACTTTATCTGCTGTGTGGTGACGTGTTGTACATAATCATGTATTCACTCACGCACCGGTAAATTGTAAAGAACACGTAATCATGTCAGAACCTTTAGCTAACATAACAATAGTGTTGTCATTTAAAAAAAAATATACCGAAAAAAAATAAACTGTCACAAACTGCTAACCGAATATGTTCCAAATTCAAAAGTCAGTGCGCTCAGGCAACGTGGTCTACCAACGGTCTTCTTTTTTCTTCTGAACAGAGCCGGTATTGACGTCTTTTTCAGCTGTATAGCAATGTCTCCTTCGCACATAGAAAAGCCAGTGCATCCGTCCTTGACTCTGAACATTCGCTTCCGAAGATGTACCGTTCATCGAACGTCTCGCTCGCTCGAATTTACTTACGGTGTGTTGGAGAGAGACACGTATATAATTACCGGTTAGGTGTGAGATACGACTGTCAATGACCGAAGGCTTGAAGGAGCGTAATAAAAAAATCTGTAGTACTGTTATGTTTTTACTGTTATTGGTCCTTTGAACTCTCAAGTAAGGATTTTATTTGGATGTAAGGGAAATTTTTCCCTTGACGAATGGATGGTTAATTTAAAACGGGACATAACTGTGTTTGTAGTTGTTACCAGTTAACTTAATTTTATTAAAATCTGTGTTTTTGTAAATTCGAATCCGTTTTCACAACTTATAACACGTAGGCAAAAGGCACCAATTCCTAAGTAAATAAAGAAAGATATTCTGAACTTCTGAAATTCATTTCAAATCTATGTTTTCAAAATTGAAAAAGTTACTTATTGTTAAAACTTTTTTAATCAGAGATGCCTAAAAGTTTAATCTCGCAAAGAGTGTTTGTTAACGACTTAAAACCTTTTTTCACTTACTTTTTTAAAGAATTACACAGAATAAAATTTCAAATATAGAATCCTTCAATGTCCAACCTTAATAGAGAAAGTTTTGTACTGAAGGACATCTAGAAGTTGTAAGTTTGTCCATTTGAGAATAACTTTAAAAGTCCATTTAGGCCCACTTGTAGCAAAGTTCTTAGATCAAATTTGGAAGTTTACGAAGCTTATCATGTTAAGTCTCATTCTATTATTATTTTGACTTTTAACATTTGACAAAGGTAGAACCATAAATGATAAACGTATTGACGAACGTTGTTACAAGTAGCTCTTAGTGTCTGAAATTATTTATATTTTTTGACCTTTCAAGAATATTAAGCTTTAATTTATAATTACTTTACTATAATGTATAACATTGCTAGATAGAATTTTAAAACGCGCATGCGCAACAGTTTCATTGTTTAAAGTGCAAACTTAAACATTTGCTATTTTCATCACAAAGGCGAAAGGGCAAAGAATTTCATCCAAGCGTGGTATTAATTAACGACATATTTTCAAGATGATAAGAACATTAGTTTACACAAGTGCAGGTTCTTCTAATGTTAAAATGAGCTCTGTAATTGAATTCCCGAGATAAACAGTAGAAAATCGGGAGATCCCGTAGACGTGCGCAGGACTGGGAGCTAAGGCCCGTATTACAGATAGGGACACGAAAAAAGTATCGATACTTTGTGGTATCGAGTACTTTTCCTTTCGATACCGATACATTTGTACTCGATACTTGGTTTTCGATACTTCAACTTCTACTTTGGCAAGTATCGATACCATTAAAAATTTGGATAAGAGCCTTATATTGATGGCAACGCCATCTAGTGGAATCATAGCAAACCTTCTAAAACATACCATTGCGTTGATATAATTGGAAGCACAAGCAATATAGTGTGTCCTGACCTGAGACTTAGGCCGTATACAGAAAGAAAGCCGAAAGCCGATCGGCGCCGATCAGCGCCGATCGGCGCTTATCGGCGCCTATTGACGCTGATCCTTTTTCTATTAACCGGCGCCGATCGGCGCCGATAAGCGCCGATAAGCGCCGACTCGCGCTGGTCCGAATAATAAATAATTTGTATTTGAATTATTTTCCTTAGACTATATCAATCTAAGTTATAATCTTTTTATAAATCTAATAACTTTATCTTTTATTAACTAAGCGCTAAAATTATTTGTTTCGTACTTATCGAATGGTGACAACAAGTCTTTCTTCTGGAAGGATTGGTTGTTTATGCCAATTGCCCTAATTTTTCATCAAACGGTTTTTCACTAAATCCAAAATGTAATAAAATGTTTCTTGAATCATTCTTGTATATGTATAAAATCTTTGTTCATCAAATTTAATTTTTTTTACAAATAAATTATGGTATTCTCCGAAACGTTTCCTTTCTCTATTTATAGGTATAGCTGTTTTTCGCATTTTTAAATAAACATTTTCTAACAAAACCAAATCATCGTCCGATGAGTCCGACATTTTGCTTGATCTGCTTTAATCGGCTTCCTTTATGTAGGAAGGATCGGCGCCGATAAGCGCCGATCGGCGCCGATCGGCTTTCGGCTTTCTTTCTGTATACGGCCTTACGTACTTGAATTACGCACGGTTAGTTTTGTAGTTGATTATATTAACATTACACATTTTTAAGAGTATATACATAATATAGAAATTTGTGAATTAACATGTCCTTTTTATGTTTTTAATTATACGTACTATAATATTTGATCGTTTTTCTTTTTATTTTAACCCGGGGGCGAGGGGGGGGGGGGGGGTTGCTCATAAGGCCCTATGAAATATACTCGATACTTCGAAGTATCGATACTTTTGTTTCAATACTTTTACGAGTACGATACTTTTTTTCCGATACTACTCATGAGTACAGTACGATATCGTGTCCCTAATTACAGAATAACAACTAAGTGTTGATCTTTACTTGAGTACAGTTAGAAAGGTATGTCGCTATATGCTATATACAGGGTGTAAAAAAACCGATAATGAAGTTGAAGGCCATGTATTTTCCACATCATGACGTTAATTTTTTTCTTCTGGACCATATCTGGGAAGTTTATGGTTATGGAGATATTGAAGGTCAAAGCCTAAATATTTTTTTCAAGATTTATACATTAAAATTTTCAAAACGTTATTTAGAAACTTTTTTAACGATGCACTTACACACACGCACACACATACACACAGGCACATTCTTTGCGTAGCGCCACAGTAGCTCGACGCTCTATACATTGCGTACCGGAAAAAAAATGTATTTTTTTAACTTAAAAATACAATTTTTTCCCACCTATAATATTTTGAAATATGATTTGTTTGGGTATACAGAATGCGTAGTTTAAGTCTTTGTCATAGGTTTTTTTACACCCTGTATACCGACATCCCTTTCTAACTATGCTCAAGACTAGATTAATTACTCAGAATCTTTCTATAATACAAGCCTAAGTGCGCAGCCTATTGCCCAAGCAAGCGTCCTCTCATGTCAACATGTAAAGCCGGGGGCCTCCAGCGCGTGTTTTGCTCTACACAATCAGGCGCTTTGCAGACGACGGGGCGGCGCGGGCCCGTCAATTTCGCCGCGAACGATAGCACACAGTGAATCCTATATTACAAACGCACACGGAGGGCAAAAAGACCGCGCCGCAGGTGCCCGGCGGGCAGTGGCGGCGCGGCATGTCCGCGGCTGCCCGCCGTGGATCATACAAACCAGTTTATATGCAGTAACGCAGACGGCGGCGCGGGGCGGTCAGCTCAGTCCGCGCCACGCGCTTATTAGTGATGGACTATTCACTAGAACGAACGTCCTAAACTGACCGCCTCTGCCCGTCGTGTGCTTTGTGTACGCGGCGCGGGCACCCGCAGACATCGACGGGCAGACGCGGTCTTTATTGCTTCGCGGACAAAATGCCCGCCCCGCCCCGTCGTCTGCTCAACGCCTCAACATACAACAAAATCGTCGACACAAAACTTTGTTTCACTACATATATTTGTTTGCAGCAACATTTTTGTTTCTTTTTTTTGTCTCCGAGCCTGATGAACAAATCTGCCCCCGCTGTCGCAGATCCTGCACTGTAAAGGCGTATTTTAGGCTGAGAGACATTTGAGTAAAAGGTATTTGAAAAAACTATTGCTGTCACAAATTGGCAAATACCTTGCGATGTGCCGTCTTTGACCTATTGGAGTTCCTGGGCATATTAGGGTAATGGGGCCCTTATGACCCCCGTTTGGTGATTTAACAGGAACTAGGGACTTTGTATTTGGTCTGAACGGGGGCCCTATCGATCGCGGAACCCTGGACACTTGCCCAAAGTGCCCACTGGTAAAGAGGGGTTCGGGGACAACAGTAGTTAATTCGACAAATTCGAGGATTGGCTCTTTCTCCTTGAAAATTAGATATTATGTAAAAGAAATTTTACACAAAGAATAATAAGTAGTTATACTATGCCTCTATGTTTTGATTTATTTTTGTAACTGCTTATTAAATCTTCACACTAGACGTCTTTAGTAGTGATATTTTATTTTTAATTCATGACCTTTTTCAAGGGCTTCTAGTTTCTTTGAAACACAAGTAATTGAAAAAAGGAATACATAGGAGCACAGAATGAGTAAAATTATATTTTATTCATGAAAATCAATTCTTTAGTGTTAAAAATCAAGTAGGAATCAGTCGAAAACGTTTGTATGGAAAAAATCACTGGCTAGCGCCCCGGGCCACCCCCCCTCATCCCTTAGAATTAGTAAATCAAATGAATTATATTATATTTTGCTATTCAGTTATGAGGAGCTCGATGGCGCGTTCGGCTGCGATCGTTGTAGTTAAGCAGCTTTCGCAGTGGTCGGTCATTGGATGGGTGACCAAAAATTTCTATCTCGAGTTCCTCCGTGCTTCGGAAGGCACGTTAAGCCGTTGGTCCCGGTTGCATCTGCAATCGTTAGCACCCGCCAATCCGCACTGGGCCCGCGTGGTGGGTCATGGCGCAATCTCCCTATTCCATCCATAGGGAAGGCCTGTGCCCCAGCATTGGGGACATAAAAGAGGCTGATGATGATGATGATTCAGTTATGTGGTCTTTCTTTTTGTAGTCCCAGATTATGGTATTTAGTAAGTAACTCCGATGCAGCAATTAAATTTTTTACCTCAGGTGTTGATGAGATTTTTGTTTGTTATGTCATTGTCGCTTAAAACGTAATTGTAAGATCTCGTATTATCAAATTGCTTCGATAAGTTGTAAGACGATTCGGTAAACATATTTAAACTAGGTACTAATTTTCTAACTTACGCAAGCAGCAAAAACACGATTAGCGACTTACAAAGAGTGTTTACATATGCTAATTCATATTAAGTTAATAACGTAAGTGATTTACGTAAGTGAAATTTACAAGTGTTAAGGCGGGATAAC